AGAGATTTTTGTAAATTCTGATTATATGTAATTTTTTAATTATTTTTCAATAAAGTTTTTGCGAAACTACCGCACTTAAAAAAAAAAAAAAATTACTAAAGCGTCAAATGTGATAATTGATCCCATTATTCTTAAGGGTATTTTAGTAACCATTCCAAGAGGTCATCTTCTTTCTCCATTAATATTTACCATGATTGTCTTGGAAGCTTTATCTATTTCCATGTCAAGTTCTTTTAGTAATTTTAATGATATAATATATCCGTAGGATTTGAAGTCAACGATTAGGGAGATTTCTTTTTTCTTTATGTGTGCTTGATAGTTTAAAGCAGTGGACTTTGGGTCATTTTTGTTAGGCGTGCTAAGACTGTATGACTCATTTTTCCATAGTTATCATCGTCTTCAGGTTTACCATTATCTTGTTCTCTAATATCCATTGCTCCTTCATTAGAAGGTACTGTTGTTCCTGAAGGGCCTGCTTCTTCAGGTCCTTTTCCTTTGTTTATTTTTCGGCTATTGGTTTCCTCAACTGTCTCATTATGTTCATTGTAAGTTTTTGGTTTCCTGCTAATAATTATCCTATTAATATGTGTTCAGGTTGATCAAAAAATTGTTGAGGTTTGTAGGGATCTACCATATTAACTACTAGTGGAACTGGTAGAGATTTTTTCTTTCCCTTTGGTTTGTTCATTCATTTTGCAGCCTCAGCTTTTTGCTTAGTTTCTCTTTTTCTAATAAAGTCTTCTTCGTCTTGATTTTCATCATGTCGTCCTCTTTTGTTTGCGTATACTTCTGTTAAAGAAAGATTCAAGGAAATTGTAAAAGGTTCCGTACCATCACCCTCTGGTGGTACACCTTCTAGTTTAAAGAGTTTAAAGATATGTTATTATCAGCATCTTCTTGTTCTATCATTTGTGCTAGCAACTGTAAAGCCTGTAAGTTGGGACGTTATTAGGTGGTGTAGTATTATTTTGAAGCGCATTATTATTTGGTGACGCAGTGTTAATCACATTATTTACTGGTAGTGGATTATTAACAACTGGTGGAATATTGAATGCTGTTATATTGTTAAGTAGATTTGGCATCATTGGGTTGAGAGGGCAATTCCTTTTAATATGGCCTGGTTGTCCACAACTATAACAGGTGATATTTCCTCTATTCTGATTATTTATTATTATATTATTGTTACCAGTCCATGCTGTAATACAATTTGCATGGTTGTTTGTAAGAGCCTGATTCATCGTCCACCAGGCGGATGCAGCATTTTTCAAATATGCAGGGACTACCTCTATTTTTCGAGCATCATTAATGCCGTTTGCATTACAAGCACGTATAAATTCTGCTATCCAGCTTATTGGGTCCTGATTTCCTCCATAAAAATAGGGCAACTTAGCGATACATGTTTCTTATCGTAGTTGATTTGCTTGCAAGGCATTTACATTGGCTTGAAGTTGTGCAGTCAAATTTGCCAATTCATTATTAGCAGCAGGCTGTACTTGTGAAGCAAATACATTGAGGACATTTTGCAACGCATTGGTTAATGCTTGTATATCAGCTTGATTTGTAACCATTTCAGCGAATAAATTTTCTATAGTAGGCTATTAATATGTAGATTATTATCGGTTGTATTACTTGAAATAGTCGATTCAGTATTGTTTGATGTAACGGAAAGTGATATAGAAGTTGTTTCAGATATCTGGTATAATGTGTGTAATGGGTCTAAGGCAAATTCTCTTATTATAACAAAGGCATTGTATATATTTTATCTAACGATTATGGATAATACTTCAAATCCAATGTTGTATCGTATGTTAAATATGAGGTTTTGGAGAATGTCGTTTACTACGTCAGCGGTACTAATATAAAGATAAGTATAATTCAGTTCTTCTATATATTATTATGTGTAATTTGTAAATATTACTGCGGGATATTCAACAGTAATCCAATTCCAAAAGTGTCGAAAATGTTCTGTTGTGACTGTTTTAGGGGGATAACAAATATAGCAAGATCTATCATGATGATATGCAGTAATATTATGTAAATTAAAATTGATGTGCAATTGATTATGTTGTCGATTATTTAGATAATATTCATTAAACATGAACAGTTCAATGAATAATTTCTGGCAGAAGGCACCAAGTGTTATAGGCAGTTCTTTAGGGTCACTTAAAGGTTAAAAGCATGGTAAGGTAAGCAGAAGGTATAAATTTATAAGTTGATATAGATTGAGTCAAAAAGTGTCGATTGTTTATTCAATATGTCTTAACAAATGAGTACTGCATCTGTCAGCGCTCTGTACTATGCAAATGTTTATATTAAATCAAACTATCTAAGAAAGTACTCTAACTATTCTAAATTTACTTCAAAACTCTCTACCGTTAACTACTCTAAGACTCAAAATATATTTATATAAAAATAAATACATAAAGTGTTCAAAGACATATAGGAAATATAAATAATATAAGAGATATAATAACTATAATAAATATATGAGATATAAGTAATAAAAGAGATATATATA